AAAAATAATGGCATATAATTATTTCATATATACTTTAGTATTATAAATTCAAATCTATATTAACAGTGTTGCATTACTATTAAGAGAGAGGAATAAAATAAGTCAGTTATTTCAGATGGGGAAATCTATACTTCAAAAGATTTTTGAGAGAATTGAATCCCTTTATATATATTTCAAATTCTATAGATATTCTAGTCATTATTAACTATAAAAGCATAGCAGCATCCAACCGAACAGAATCATTATTTGCTCCATTTTCACATTAATAAATTGGCAAAACAACAATAACAAATACAGCAACAATAAACTTAAAAATGAAAATAGTAATATTTACTTATTATTTTAAAATATTTTAAATTTTGAATTTTTTTTAATATCTTTTCAATTAAAATCTTTTAGAAACTCTGTTTAAAAAGTTATGTAAACTTGACGAATTTATGGCCCAAGAACCCACTTAATGCATTTTATTAAAATTAAAAAAAAAAATAAATCTGACATGAATTGCAACCTTTTATATAACGCGGAAATTTTAAAGCATAAAATATTGTAATAAAGAAAATATTTAAATTATCAGGGACCAAATTTTTTGAATACAACTGGAAAATAATTATTAGTCATCTTTAAACATTACACGGCATTCAACTATTAAAAATCTATTAGTTTTTTTTGGAATTATAATGATTATTACCAGAATTAGTTTTGTTAAATTATATATTATTAATATTTTAAAATTTGAATGTATAAATATGCGTATTTGTATGTATCTATGTACTAAAACTAGCATAATAATAATATATAAAAAAGTATACGATATATTAAAAATCAAAATTTTTCTGATTTATATATATACATAACACATATGTATATATGTTATTTAAAAATGTAATATTTGATAAATAAAATAGAGAAGCACAAATTGTATTTATATATATATATACATACATATATATATATATTAATAATATATACATAAAGAATATATTTGTGTTTATATTAAAATAATTCCATTTCTGTGCTTTTCAATATATTGTTTGGATGTAAAAATTAATTTTAAATTAAATATCTAATTATAAAAATGCAGTTTAAGTGGGTTTCCCAAAATTTAAACATAAAATTAATAAATAAATTTAGCAAAAAATGTATAAAAAAAATTATGCAAAAAGGAAAAAGAATTATTAATTATTATAGAGAAGTTTGCTTTATTATTTCATATTAAAATTTATATTCAAAACTATTAAAGGCGGTGAAAAAGAATTAAAAAAATTAAATGAGTAAAAAATTTATTGTGTGTGTTTATAATAATATAAGTAAATAAATGAAAAAAAAAACAAAAACAAAAAAGATCAATTTTATTTTAAGTTATATATATTAAAATTACAAAAAAAATTTTGCTGAATTATTTAAATAAATCAACTTATTTATGTCTGTATTAAAAATGTACTAAAAATATACAAAAGCAAAAAACAAGGATATTGTGTATAAAAAATAATATTTAACGGACAAAAAAAAAACTACTGTAAAATAAAATTAAAACAAACTAAAAACAGTAAAAGAAATCTAAAAAGTAACATACTTAAAACTATTGTAATGATGTGAACTTGGAGCATTACTCTATCTCTATCATTGTCAGTATTTTTGAAAACATTGAAACAAAATACTGTCTCATGGCAAATATATATATATACTATATATATATACTATATATATAAAAATAAAAAAAATATTTAAAATATAAAAATATTGTTTTTATCTGTGACTTGCTCCACAGCGAGTAGTTCTCTTCCTTATGGATGACAATATACAAATAATATACTTTTCGAAATGTAGTCTTTGAATTGATAAAATTAACCTTTAAAAACTCCCTACTTTTCTTCCATATGTCATTTGTTAAGAAAACCAAATTGCTTAGTCTAAAATTGTTAATAAGCGACCCTCAATAGATACAAATTTTAAATACGTTATTTAATATGGAACAACAACTTTATTAACAGTATAATAAGGTAGACGATAATTATGATGTCCAAGTTAAAACGATTAAACTTTTAGCCAGTTTTTTTTCTTCAAAAAAATAGTTCTGAATTGAAGTCGAAAATTAGTTTTTATCTACAATGAGTACTAAACCCAAAGTTCTTCAGGATTACCGGTTGCCTTGAAAAATCTACTTTGATTTGCTTTTAGCAGACGACACCTGCTTAATGAATGCTAACAAAAATGCTAAGTAAGATCAAATATACAAGAATATGAAAATAGCTCGCAATATCACTTTCAGTACTATTTCAGACCATTAATACTTGGTTAGTTTAGCTTAAATAACACAATGATGCTTTAAAAATAAATTATTAGAACCAAACTTCTTTATGGCTTATGGTAATTACGCTTCATCTACCATTAGAACGAATAGCATAGAATAGCATAGCTTAGCTATAACATACAATATAGCATAGCTATAACATACAGCATAGCACAACTACGAGTATAACATATGGCATAGCTATAACATACAGCATAGCTTAGCTATAACATACAGCATAGCTTAGCTATAACATACAGCATAGCTTAGCTGTAACATAAAGCATAGCTTAGCTGTAACGTAAAACATAGCTTAGCTGTAACGTAAAGCATAGCTTAGCTGTAACGTAAAGCATAGCTTAGCTATAACATACAGCATAGCACAACTATAACATATAGCATAGCACAACTATACATACAGCATAGCTTAGCTATAAGATACAGCATAGCAACATAGCATACAGGCCTAAGAGGACATACATAAAGATCTAAGAATCAAAAGCTTTAAAAAAATTTATTAAAAACAGGCTCATGCTATGACCACATAATATTCTCGTTAAGCAAATACAATCTATACTCGATCAATAAAATATTTTGGACTACAAAATATACTTTTATACTTGAACACATATTACAGTAGATTCCCCAAGAAAACACCGTTATTATTGACTAAAAGCGCTTCAGACTCTAGCTGATGCTTTATCAATCAAGAGAAACAAGAAAAAATATCAAAACTATAACCACAGAAGAAAACTACTAACTTCAAAAGTACGGATATAATGAGTTACTTCCCAACCATAGCAGTTACATACAATTTGACGTACATCTTGGTGTACGGTTATGTTATTTCAGTAACTGTTTTTGACCAGCTAAGTCTGAAAACTGAAGCTACTCGTTATTTCTTCCTTTACAAGAAAAACGATTTCAAGTGAACTCCCTAATGGAAGAACTAGCTAAATTAGAACGACAGTAATCAGGTAATTCACTTCAATCTATTTAAGAAAGTGATAAATTAAAATAAATAATTTTAGTTATAAAATAATATAGTTAATTATAATAATGCAGTTATTATATTATATTAATCTCTCATGTAATTTTAACTATATAATCGTTTTATTATCAAAGATCTCTGTTACTATGGATAACCAATCAATAGTTTTATAAGCGGATTAAAGGAATGCATTCAAATTACTCATAATTGAAAATAATAATACACATATTTTATGCGATATATGAATATGAATACATGACAAAAAAGATTATTTCTCCAGAAAACAGTTATGTCAGCTGTATGGGATGTGCATTATATTTTAAAAACTAACATATCTTTCTGATTACATCTAAACAACTATTGACTTGGGCAGTAAAAATCCGTTCACATGAACAATGTAGCATCGTTCACTAACCAGAACTAAATTGAATTAGTGTAGGTCTCCTATTCTCCTATAGTGGATTTGTTTTCTGTCAGTCTATATAATTATGTATATATTTGTCTATATATAAAAATTATTGTCGATCGTTGTTGTATTCAAGTTTTTTACAATGAGAAAAATATTATCATCACTATATTTTTAGGTGTCGTTGTGGATGTGATGCAGAGACCTAATCCAATATGTTATGCAGTTTCCTAAAGATGTTGGATTGCGCTATAAGAGGAGTTGAAGACCATGTAGAAATAGATATATTATTGTTATCAATAAAACAAAATGAAACGATCAAATTAATATGCACGCTTTAAAAAATTCTAATGAAACTGTACACACAATAACTATTTTTAAATCCAAACAGATAAAGTCGAAAATAAAAATGTTTAGTGAACTAAAAAATAAATAATTTAAAACTGTAGAGAAAATAATATAAATATGTACCTACATATATAACATAACTAACATAGAAAATAACATAGAAAATTTTAGAAAATCTCTAAATAAGTATACGCAGTTTATAATTGAATCACCTAAAATTTCTCGACTAACGTAATTCCGTTCTAATATCTCCATGCAACATAATGTATAACTTTCACATATATATAACATATATATGTTATTAACTTATGTTAATACTTACTATATGTTAAGCTAGATCTAGGATCATGCTAGCATATGTAAGTAATTTTAATAAAGAGCCCGCAAGGACAAACCACGTATAATGGGTTAAGTTGTTTAATCATATTGTCTAATATATATGAAGATATTAACAAAAAATCCATTCCGAGATCATTTCTTATACAAGATAATAATATAGTTGAAAAAAAAATCAAAGTTTTGCCAACTTCAAATGAATTTTTTATTACTTAATTATAATGAACTCTGTCAACTTGATTCTTATTTTGTTGTCGTTTGGAATACTAATTTTTCGGGTTCATACACTGTATTGCTCCAAAAACCAATTTCAGATTCAGATATGGTTATAGATTTGGAGGACGAGGACAGTGGTTCAATTATAACTTCTGATTCCAAAGTTTCTTCTGAAGACGATTCATCTATTTTAACTGGTCTCTTCTTCTTGATCTTTTTATTTTTTGTTTTTTCAAGTACCTTCAATTTGTCAGCTTTAATATAAGAAGCATGAGTATGTATTATTGGCGTTTTAATTATCTTCATTTTGCGTC